GATCTTTAAATCCTATATCTTCAAATTCTAAACACTAAAAAATATTTTGATCCCCAAACTCCCATAAACCCTCAAAACTAAACTCTAACAGAACATAATTAACCCAAACATAAATAATACAAAGACAAAATAATTTTGAAAAAATGGCATTTTTATAAAGATTTCAAAAGTGTGACATTTTTGAAAAGTGGCATTTTTTAAAATTTCTCTAAAGAAAATGAAAATGTTTTACCAATAATGGTAGTGGTACTTCTCGATGTTAAAACAAATGTTGTATTAAATGAAACAAAAAATGGTATAAAATGAGAATTTATACATACTATTAAGATCCAAGAGTGTTTAAAATTTGGTGAATATAGTTATCTATGAGAAAGAAACTAATGACATCAATGGTAAACATTTATCAAAAATGGATTTATATGTGATGCTTGATAAATTTAAAATAGTATATAGGATTTTATGTGATTAGTCACATGAAATCTCTTTATTTTTCTAGTTTAACTCTATAATATTTGAACTATTATTGCATAATAAATATATATTCCTTCCATTCGTTTTAAGTGATTATTTAGACGTTTTCTTATTATTTCAAACAGTGATGTTTTTACTTTTCAGTTTCTATGAAAAATTAATGAGAAATTTAAAAAAATGTGACTTTTCAAAAGTACAACATTTTCAAAATCTTTGCAAAAATGCCACTTTTTCAAAAAAAAAATCATTTATATTATTTATGTTTGGGTTAACTATGTTGTTAACTATGTTGTATTAGTGTTTAGTTTTGAGGGTTTAAGGGTTTTAGGGGTCAAAATATTATTTAGGGTTTATAATTTTAAAATTTAGGTTTTAAAAATCTATAATTAGTGGTAGTTTTGCAAATGAACACCCCTAAATGACATTATTGCAAATGTACACACCAAAAATGGCATTATTGCAGCTGTTCCAAAATTAATTATGTTTTTATCGTTTTTGAGTCTTTAAATTATCAATATTTTTTTCTATTGGTTAAAGTGTTTTGGGTAGATAAAAATAAATGTTTTATTTTAGAAAACAATAAAAATTAAATAATTTCTTAATTAAAGAGCATAAACCTTGAACATGATCTAATTACAAACAGAGATAGAATCCGTAAGAATATTCTCTTACTTACTTATATATATGAATCTCCATG